CTATTTTTTTTTCTATTATATTTATTTCATGGGTGATTTATCATCAAAAATAAATGTTGGATTCTTGATGTATGTTTTTCAAATACTACCATCTTGCTTGTATATGAATTGCTCAAAGCTGTTGGAACCCAATGTTACCTGCTCTATAAATAACAAAAAATACATGTATAAATCATGTATTGAGTGATTAAAATTTTCATTTTAGAATATTTTCCAATCATACATTGTACTGGAGCCCCGTGGGGATCCGGGTTAGAATAGGTCCTCAGTACCCCCTTGCTTGTCGTAAAAGGCGACTAAATGGGGCGGTCCTTCAGGTGAGACCGTATAAACCGAGGTCCCGTGTCACAGCAGGTGTGGCACGATAAAGATCCCTCCCTGCTCAAAGGCCGTAAGTGCCGAGCATAGGCCTAAATTTGCAGCAATGGTGACGTCTCCATATCAGTGAAATATTCTGGGGAGGGACGTTAAACAGTATATAATCAATCAATCTCACCATACTGGATGAATTTTATATCTACATGTATTTGTATGCTCTTGGAATGCAATGCAATTCCTCATGCAAAAATTGATATAACCCAAATTTTGTTATATTACGTATTATTCTAACGTGTTTCTCTCTGCAGCCTTTATCCTTATCTTACGTCAAACCTTTAATCGGTAATCAAATTCCTTAGTACCTTAAGAAAACTCTCTCGTTATATTTATTCTTTACAAGATCAATTCTCATATGTTTCATTGTATTTGATGCCTGATTCATATCTTTCTCAAACGTAGCTTTTTTTTATCAAACTTTATCCCCACTCCTCTATGGTACCTGGTCCCATCTCGGATATTTTGGAGGTTCCTGTTTGCTCTGCTCCTATTTTTGTATTGTTTTATGGAATTGTTATCTTGAATACTGTTTATTATCTCTATATCTTTCATGTAATTGAATGGAGATGGTATTTAGGATACATCTTTATCTTCGTCTCAACAATTCATTGCTCAAGGAAGATATGTTAAAAACATGTACACGGGTAAAAAGAAGTGTACACTCAACTAAATGCAAGGGAGATATTTTGGTGGGGAAATCTTACCTTATTATCAAATTGAGCAAACACAAATCTTGCAATATATCGATAAAACGCAGGTATGTTAAGGTTACAACCAAAAGTTCTACTTGCCTGTATGATATGACGTCATAGTAAGCTATACTACATGAAGTTTTAGAGAAAATAATTTCTTAAAATCGATATCTAAGATTGATTTGAGGTCGTTAATTGGATCAAAATATGCAGAGGCAAAACATAAACGGAATTTTGTCCTTTCTGGGACTCTGTATTTATCACAGGGGTTAAATACTAAACCCGGGACGTCATAACTGTTCATGCAGTAGCAAAGTGAAAGTGAATCGTAACGAGATTTCATGTAAACAAACACAAGAAATCGAGGTTCAAAAGCATTTAGAATGAATACACATCATGTGTGATTCATGTGGGAATAAAGCTTATGAATAAGGTATGCTAATATACCTACAGTTTTTTCGTAAAATAAAAGCAGACAGGGTGTTTACTTGCCGATCAGCCTTTCCTCTGTCGTTCGTAGCAAAGAAGATGCAAAAGTTCAACACTACGCCGCATCCTTTGAAACTTAATTTTTGTTTCAATCTAAAATTCTTATTCAATTGTTTTTGGAAAGTGCTGCTAAAATCGCATGGTTTACGGGAATTGATGCATTTTTTCGATGTTATGAACAAAATGTAAAAATTTTGGGAATGTTTGGTTCGAAAGTTTTAAATAATTATTTATGTGATAGAACAGTAGGATTCTAGCAGCACTTTTCATTTTACAGAGATGTGTTTACATAACTATGACTACAAATTGAAATTTATTATCCCCGGGGTAGTGTTGAACTTTTCACTTTTTCAATAAGGAATTTTTTTCTAATAATAGACGTCACGTGGTGACGTCGTAGTGTAGTGCCCCTTGTAGTATATAACTCAATGACGTCTATAGAATGCATAATGATAGCAAAAGATTTATCCATGACTTTTTCGATTTATAAGTGTTACATGTTATAAAAAAAGTATTAATTCGCCGAATTCTGATCCATATGTTGCCTTAACAAACCTGCAAATTCTATATTTAACAATTGAAGGCTATATTGACCAGCTATTTGATATATAGAGAGAATCAAAACAAGGAAATGTGTCTCATTTCAGTTTAGGCGCTGGTCTTTATTGTTATTATCAGAGGATATTTAAGAGCTTTGCCCAATTCAAGGAATCGTTCAAATTCTTGTTTTCTAATTGGGATGAATAAGGGAGATACAGCAACTGTTTATGATTAGAATATATTTTTTGAGAAAATTAAAGTAACAGTTACTGTATTGAAGTTAAAAAGTCCATTATACTATAAAGATTGGAGCAGAAAAAGCTCGGATCGACCTCTGAACATTAGAACTGCGATTAGGTGCCACAGAGAAGTGCGCATCCCCTGCCGACCAGTCACACTAGGCATGTTCATAATAATAATTTCAAATTCATTACTGTTTTGTTTTCTTATTATAAGGCATGTTGAAACTATTTTTGTTAAAACTAAAAAAAAAGACAACTTCCTTTGATGTTTTCGAAAATTGCTTTACTGTAACAAAATCACAACTTAATAAAGCTGTTCTTTTAAAATACGTCCAAGTTTTATTAGTATATGGCGGAATTTTGTTAAGGTTTTACATGAGATAATAATAAGTCAGGTCTTCAAACCTGTATAAACCATTGTAATCAAAGCTTTCAATTATATAAACTGTGTTAAATAATCAAAACAATTCGATTCTGTTTGGGAACCACTGGTCTAGGTCAAGTCTGTAAAACAAAAAAAGAGGTAAATATGTTTATGAACATTTAGATATTCGCATTGTTCGACAGTTAACCCGTTCATCGGGTATTAGTTGAAAATGCTCATTATTAATTAAATATGATCAGAGTAAGATTTTGAATCACACTATCTATATTAAAATGACCAAGTCACGTGAAAAGGCGCACTCATGAAGTATATAAACTTTAATTTGATATCTCTGAAAGTTAAATGGGGTGTATACTTGAAAATGAATATAAAAATATACATTATAATTTCTTTAACATTTTTCTATCATATTGCAGCCGCCAAAGGAGGTTGCAACCCGTATGTATTCGATCATTTATAACGTATTGATAATTCTAATTAGTTATTTTCAATAATATTTGCATTTTCAGAATTTTATTGTATATTTATCCCCCTCTTAAGAAGTAGTTGGGTATACAATGGTCGGGGTATCCATCAATCTGTTCGTCCTTCGGTCCATCTACTCATCCCTTTGTCCCTCTGTCCCTACGTCTGTGTTCTCAATGCCTATATGGATTTTTCTGTAATAATCATATGGGAGGCGATATATCATTTTGTAGGCTCAATGAGCACTACTGCGACTACTCTAGTTTTTTTTAAAAAAGCATTAGTCTGTGAGCCAAAAGAATCACATATATAAATGCCATAATACTTTTTGTTCCAATTTATATATTTGTGTACATATTGAAGATAAATTTTAATTTAGAGACCACGAAAACAATTGCTGTCAAGGATTTTTCTTTGAGGAAATTTCACATGAATGCAAAGGTATGTAGAAGATATAAATTGAGTCAAAATATATTAATGCAAAGGAAATGCAATGAAGTTAATTTCTCAAAAAACAATTCAAGTTAAATGTATTAACGACTAAGATGCGGTTATTTGTTTGTATATTTCACCAAGAAAGAATAATTAACCAATTGTTTTGTTGTTTATAACTATAGCCTCTATTGTACATTTAGTTAAATATTCTTATTTCGTGAGTAAAAAAATCTCTTCAATTTTTAAATTCGTAAGATGCATCTGATTGAACAACCTGTGTTTTTAATCTATGCTAGAATGCACTTTTGAGTTTGCACAAAGGAGATAGTAAAAATTCTACTCTCATCATCTACCGATATACATATATCTGACTTTTCACCTTTATTCAAAGAATGTCCTCCGGGGTATATCGGCGTAAACTGTTCCATGGCATGTCGGTATCCTGGGTATGGCAAATATTGTCAGGAACAATGTAACTGTTCACAGGAGTTGTGTGACATATCAATAGGATGTCTCGGTAATTTACAATTATATTCATATTGTTAAATATAGTTGTATACGATAATTCAGATATTGTTTTAGTAGGGCATATCACATAAACTAATCTGTCAGTGATCTCAATTTTTTCGTCAAAATGAAAAAAAATGTCAAATTAATACAATACTTTTTTATTCTTTTATGCCCTGGATATCAAAAAACGTTTTGGTACAATCCTTTATGAACAAAAAATGTATACTAACAAATCATTTATTTTTCAATGATATGCATGCAGGCCTGAATCTCGATCCACTCAATGAAGAAAAGGTGTTCCAAGAAAAAAACTCTACAAAATTAAGGGATGAGAACGATAATTTGAACATGGAGTCTCAGTTAACACCAATTCTGATCGGTATTATAGCTTTCTTGGCATTCCTGCTATTCGCTATTGGGGGACGAATGATCTGGAAAAAGGTTCAACAGGCCAACACCAAGATCGTTCAAAGACAACAACGGGAGATTCAAGGTCTTGAGAAAAAATTGAAAAAATCAAAGGAAAATGAAGAAGCAAAGGAAAACTTTTACGAGGATATTGATGGGCTGAAAGCAGGAGAGAGCAGGAAAGACATTTTGTCTTCTGAAAATGACTACATCGACAAGCTGGATTTCTTTGAAAAAGAAAAGTCTAATAATCCAGAAATGAATCATTTCTACGATGCTTTGAAATAATTAAATGCTATTCAAAATTTTACTTGTCCAAAAAGTATATAACAGAATAATTGTAAGCAGATAATTAAAGAAAAAAACTGTAAAAGCTGAAGAATGAAGGTGCAATAAAATCATTTGTGGAAGTATATATTTCAGATACACAGTTTTTCTTTTAATTAAAATAAATGTAGGTATATAATTTAAAATAAATGAAAAGTGATAAAACAAGTGCATTTAAATGAGAGAATATATCATTTTGTTAAAGTTTATCATTACACGTCAGGTTTTCAATTTATTTCAGTATCAATCAGCATAACTTACAGCTGTTGTGTTATACATAAAGCATGCCATCATAAAGCTCGAACCTGATTTAAGAAAAAGTTATTTCCTTTACTACTATATTTTTTTTTTAATTGACGTGCATAGATATTAGCTTGGTTAAAACCATAGTTACATATTTTGGTCACAACTTATTTCTGCTAGATATACATTAAATTTGTCTATTTCTTTGTGCGACATCATTTTCCCGACTTAAAGTAACTGCTTTATGTAATCTTTAGGAATACTTATAAATGCAAAAATAATATTTTCTTGAGCATATCGTATCGAATCGCGTTATAAGGAAAAATAGTTATGATGAACTAAAAAAATATTTTCAGTACACGAAAAAAAAAATCTTGGTTTTCATCTACTTGCCAATTCAAATAAAAAAAACACCACCTACTTATATGAATCTTAATACAATGTATATTAAGTGTACTCCAGAGTCAGGATGTAAAAGTTAAGAACAAACTTTTTTTTAGAACTTCATTATACGATTGGTGTAACATACTTACTCTATGAAATAATAAAGGCACGTAAAGACCACCCCCCCCCCCCAAAAAAAAATAAATAAATAAATAAAATACTCCTCACTGTGTAAAAACTTTTTTGACAAAGCAATTTTTGTGTAATTCAATTTCACTTTTTTAAATAAAATTATTACTTCAAAATAAATAGCATTATAGCAATGACAAGGTTCACTTGCAAATTAGCCAAAAATTACATGTACCTGGGTATTGTGTCGTCATCATTTACTTGTTGGCATACTACAACGGTTGTAAACCTTTTCATATATTACACAAATTACAAATGGAATTAGTGCGTCCTCTACTTCATGGCAATATATATTTTAAAGCTAAACATATTTGTGGTTGCACTGCTGATTTTATTTCCCGCAATAGCCATCAAGGTTAATCTAATTAGCTAATTATCCAATCAGATCAAACTACACTTATGCTGAAATCTTATCTTAGTTAGAGGAATCTCAATTATTCACTGTTTTGTTTTAACAGATGCTGGACGCATCTAAATTTTTTACAAGAATTCAATTTACCCAACCACCATCACCTTAAATTTTTTTATGTAAAATCAGCTGTCCTAAATTACAAACAAACTATACCTTTTTGTTTTTGTCCTGTACATTTATTATTGTTACATGTATATTATTATTTTTTTCTTTTCCATTTTACAACTCAAATACAATATTTAATTAACACCTGTGTTTCAAATTGTAATTGTCACCCGCGTGGCGCAGTGGTTAGAGCGTCTGCTTTAGAGTCGCGAAGGAGTCAATCCTTACGTCGCTTTTAGGTTTCAAATTCCCACTGTGGGACGTTCCGTATTGGACTGCGGTTTTACAAAAGGCCATTTCGGATGTGACCGTATAAACCGAGGTCCCGTGTCGCAGTAGGTGCTGGTACGATAAAGAGCCCTGAGTGCCGAGTATAGGACAAAATTTGCAGCTCTCCACCGGCAAGTGGTGGCGTCTCCATATGAGTGAAAAATTCTCGAGAGGGACGTTAAACAATGTACAATCAATCAATCAATCAAATTGTAATTTTATCATTCAACCCGTGTTTTAAATTTTAATTGTATCAGATTATTTTTTACTCATGTTAGTACATGTATTTTTATTGTTGTGCGGTTTTTTAACCCCACCTTTGCAAATTTATTGTCATTTATTCAGTCATTTTTGGTTAACCAATGTTTGACATTTATTTCATCATCTGATCAAATATATTTATGGTAAATTGAATAAATGATCTTTTTCACAAGAAGAAGTTGTTCTGTCTTTCATTGCAAATAAACTCAGACTCACTGGAGAACATAACTGGTTGTTTCATGTTGACAAATAAAAGGTGTTTTATGGAACAAAATATGGAATGAAATTCAATGTTATTTAGTTATGGACAAAAATTGGGTGACAAAAAAAATTAAAATACTTCTCACTGTGTAGACCTTTTCAGACAAAGCAATGTCTTTTGTGTTATGAGTAATTCATTTTAATCGTTTACAGTCTTAAATAATGAGAAATGTTGATGTTTACTTAAAATACTTTTCTTTTCAAAATTAGAATTAGTTTATAAAGAATTATCACGCTTACATTATTTTTAAAAGGTGATATGCTATTACAACCATATACATGTGTATGTCAAATTTCGATTTCTTCTTTTTCACATATAGTATTTTTTTTTTATTTTGATGGATTCTAAATGTTCATGCATATGCATAAGTCAAATGAGTTTCAATGATTTGCAATAATTAAAGTTTATCAATGGCAAGTGAATGGTACTCTTGTTTAATGTTAATAAAATAGAAGGCGGTTTCATAAAAAGCTATGGGATATACATTATTTTTAGCTCATGACAGATAGATAGAAATAAGAAATAACGAGTTTAAAACAATTTGTATCCACTTGATTTTACCGAATACCATGAATTGGTTCAAACTTATTGAGGGTTCTTAATTCTTTTTATGACTGCTTAACCCAAAAGCCTGAACCGTTCGTAAAGTACTTATTAATTTATTACTTCCTCCTTAAACAGTTATTATTTAGAGTATATAAAGTCAGTATTGTGTGTGTTTTTGTTTGGCATTTTTTTTTATTATGTCCTTTACGAAACGGAAGTGACACAATAAGCATGGGAATCAATATCGAATGCTGTCTTGATTGCTGGATATGTTCTTTGCAATGATATGCTCAGCTTGGCTTGACTTTTTTTTAATATTTAGTTTCTGTTTGTTAATGTTATGTTAAATAAGGCTGTCTCTTCAAAATTGTGAATTTCATGGCCCCAGGGTCCTGCGTTTTAGTGCTAGGGACTAGGGCTAGGGCGGGACCATATACACTATATATAGGTATTGAAAATGCACTATTTCTTTGAAAATCTTCTTATTCGCTCCTAGGTATTTAATAAACGAACCAAGTGCATAATTATTTTTTTAATAATGCTGAGTAATCCAAAATTGTGAATCTATGGCTCCAGGGTAAGGGGTTTAGTGTTAGGGCGTGGCTATATTGCTAATATAGTGAAAATGTATAAATTCTTTGAAAATCTTTACCTCTGCTCCTGGGTATTAAACCAAAAGATGATGTACATAGTTATGATGCAAAAGGATGCCTCTTCCAAATTTGTGAATTTCAGGGTCTCAAGATCAGGGGTTCTGATGATAAAGTGGGACTCTAATGATTAAATAGTGAACATGCATGATTTTTTTTTCCTTTGCTCCTGGGTATTATGCCAATAATCTAAGTACATGTTCATGATGAAGAAAGGCTCTCTTCCAAAATACTTTATTTCAGGTGCCCTGGGTTAGGCGTACGGGGGAGAGGGGAGGTTGGTTACATTATGTGAAAATAAATTATTGCTTTGAAGTCTGCTAAATTTTATACTCTGATAAGAGAGATAATTCTTAATTTTCATAATTGTCTAAACATTTCTTTGGTTGAAGTGTCTTTTTTGTCCAATTGTGCCCTGCAAGCTATGCTATAATTGTTTGTATTTTACTTATAAAATACATTTCTTTTGGAAAATCATAAAGGTTCAAGAAGCATTTTATATGAGTGAGCAGAGGGTTTATGAACCTTAATGAACCATTTATGATGAAATAAAACTGTTGATAAAATTTCTAAAATGGTTTATGTCAGTTGGGTGCAAAACTGTGGGAATGCATTTTCTCTTTGTAACTCTGATCTACCTTTAGGTATTAGGTAACCAAAGTCAGCATGCTAATAATAAGCAATGGTGCCTCTTTTAAACTTAAGAATTTCGTAGCCTCTTGTTTAAAACACTTGGACTGTTGGTGACCACGTACCAAATTCAATTGTTGAAATGTTGGTACATAATAATCAGGTGACCTGTAAGGCCAGTGGGTGTCTTGTTACTAATTTAAAAGCCAAATTGTATATTCATATATATAGGAATAAAACAGGCGATTTAATTTACTTATCCATAACAGACTTAAAAGAATATCCTCAATTGTGTGCTTTGACGAAAATTGTCTTCGATCAGCCTATCAATGTCTCATTATATAGTTTATAATGCATGTTATTTATAAGTCGTGTAAAATCAAATTGTAACTTAATTTTAAAAAGTTTTATACAATATATACATTTACAATACAGTACAATGTGTTGTTTTTATTTTTATTGAGACGAAAAAAAAGGAATAGATTCACTGGATTCGAAATCTAGCAAAAGACGATTTCATTAGTATCCGGTATACAAAATCAACTGACAACTAAATATATGCATGTGTATAAGTTTATTTATAAGAAAGAGTCTCAGACTTGTCCTAGCAGAAGAGATATATTTAGGACTGGTGTGTCTCCTGATACTGATAGAATCACGAATAAGGAATTAATAATCCCTGAAGGTTTGAGACTAAAGCAATAACACAACTAGTTGAAAAAATAATGACCAACATGAATGCTTATATTTTAATAAATTAATACTGTTTGTGACTTAATGCAAAATGTTACACAGATATACAGAGAAAAAAGAAATAACTAAACCATGTGTGCCATGACAATGGTAAATATGCTGCATTCAGTTATTTGGCATTCTCTATTTCCTTTTATGACTATTCCGTTTGATTTCCCTTATACAAACTCAGTTATTTTACACGTTTCCTTTGATCAGTCTAATTATAAAGTAATAAAAAATATCAATTTTATCAAATATTTACTGGCAATCAAACAATGGAAGCCTTTGGTGTAAAATATTGTATTGTTTTCAATGCGACTATTCTACTTATCTCTGCAAATTGTCTGAAGTAAGTATATAACCATAATAATTATTGACATTATTGATATTTTGCATTGTAAAAGCTAAATAAAAAAAATAAATTTCAATTATTTTGCTTATTTTTAATATTAAAAAAGAATTAAATTTTATTCTTTAGAAGAAGAGACGAAAAAGGAAATTGCACATGCTCTGGGTATTTCACCGATAAGATTTCAAATGAATGCAAAGGTAATAATTTTAGATATTTTACACTTAAAGTTGAACGGTTGTAATCTTAACAGCTATTTTCAAAGATAACTTTTAATTGTTTTGATTTATTTTTTTTTATAGTAACTGATATTTTTAAACACATTTCATAATAAACCATTGTCTTTGTTGGAATTCTCGAAAAAACTTAACGCTTGAATATCAAGATGTTATTCTCATGTGTTTTAGAGTGTCCCTCTGGCTACATGGGTCAGGGTTGCAAGGTTAGGTGTCGTTACCCTGGGTTTGGGAAACAATGTCAGGAACACTGCTTATGCAAGGCAGAATACTGTGACTTTCGGATCGGCTGCATTTCCTCTATTGGTAAACTTGTTTGAAATTGAATGAATGTAAAGATACACTTATGAGTTCATGATTTTGGTCGAAGTTAATGATAACATGGCTCTTCAAAATATATTTGATTTAATATTTTTAACTTACATGTATTTAAAAAACATCATCTTCATTATTTTTCTTTTA